ATATAATGAAATGTTATATCAGTTTTATTACATTGTTTTGTAGCATTGTTTGTGGGGGGTCCCTGGCCAGAATTTGATGCTGTTTGAAGGTCCATTGCGTGGAAAAGCTTGGGAACCTCTGTTTTTATAAATCTACACACATGTATGTTTAATAAAAAGAACATTTTTGAGACAGTCCATACAAATAAAAAAATTTAAATCATAAATATCGTAAAAAAATTTGTAGCCTAATTTTTTACCAGTGACGTAACGATGTACTTAAGAACCAATGTTTGCAGACAACAAGTCAACGACCCGACGAGCCTCTGGTTGGATTTGGAATCAAAATTTCAACCATCTCAACACGTTGAAAAATCTTACGTGAAATGTTTTAACCAYAACAGTCATCTGCTAATACGCTAACATTTAGCTCAGTTTCTGAAAAAAATCATTGATCTACAGCAATCTCTTTGTTTACTAAGATTGGTGAGTTGTGGCGGCCATCTTGAATTGGATTGAATCCAAAAGACGATTAGTTGTATATGTTCGTCCAAACATGATTTTGTGAGAATTTTAATAAAATCCATCCAGCGTGTACACAACAACAGAACATAAACTCACACCGACATCAGTAAAAACATGTTTGCTATACCCTTTCACTCTTTCACTCGTCCAGGCGGTCAGGGCTCAGTTTATAAAGACAAAAGAAACTGATTGTTATTGCAACTATTTAGCCTTTTACTGCTTACAGTAAATACACAGAAAAAAAATGTTTTAATTACAATAATCCACACTAAAAGCTTTTTGATTGGGCCAATTTCTGCAGTTCCAGATCAAGACAAATGTGGAGTTTTGAGAAACAAATCAAGAAAATCAGTGAACCGGGTCATCTCCTTTCACATCTTTCTTTGTGTTTCTGTCTTTTCAACATAAAAGTTTGATAAAGAAGTGCAAATGCTTTTCTCTCAACACATTTCTGCTTGATTTAAAGTAAAAAGTACTACAAAAATGCCAAAATTTACTCCTGACACGTCTTACCAGCRCTGATGAAGGCTCCCAGGAGAAATGCTGCTTTGTACAGGTCCATGTTGAGGGTCCTGGTCTAGCAGCTCATCATCAACACCCAGATGTCCCTGCAGGTTTATTAATCAGGTCCTTATAGCGTGTGACAAGGACAAACAGGACAGCTCGGTCAATCATTGGCCTGATCAGGACAGCAAACAACAACAGGTCAAACTCCATGCTTATGGGAGATTTCAGCACAGTCCTGCATTAAAGTGTCTCAGCATTTGATTCAGAAACAGACCCGTGTTGTTCGGGTCTTGCGGTGTTCTGGGGAAAGACAAGTCGTCGGCAGGAGAGCATGGAGTTTTAACAGGTCCTGAGGGAACCGGGACAGTTTAAATATCGTGCTTTACAAGGTTTCATCCAAAACAGCTAAATCTGACCGCAGTGTTTGGTGTGAAAGCTGGGGAGCGATAAGCATTCCTTTGAGTAATCCTAGGCCTTTGATTTAATCATGATTGCTTCATAGTCTTGTAATGAGTTGGTTGATAAGTGAGCAAAACAAAAAAGACAAGATTTAGTAAAAAATGTTTGCATGTTGTTATTCACAGAATAAAACTTAAGATCTGTCTTTTTTCCCCCACTGTTGAGGTCTAAACTGGATCAAACAGGATCATGGTCTGCAGTTCATCTCCAGCTGAGAGATCACTGCACTCATCTGCAAACAAATGATTTGGAAACAGCCTGAGTCACACGGTTCAGTCGGTCACAACTCCATGTTTGGTTTTCGTTGCACCACAGACTAATGCGCGTGTAAAAATGTGTCATAATTTGGGGGTTTTGGGTTATATAGTGGCTACGGTGTGCTAAGTGTAAAATAAAATGTTAAAAATGTCATATTTTAATTATTGAGCTCACTTTCTGAGTGTAAAATCCTGGTTAAAATTCAACCTGGAAAGACTCACAGAGAAAGCGAAAGCAGTTAAAGAGTTTTATTGAAATGAATGAATAGGAGCACGGCGCTCTGCTTTGGTGCTCGAGCTCCAGCAGAAGACATGAGTGAGGTGAGAAAAGTCTTCCAGTCTGAATTTACACCTGGGCTTCATTTTTTTCCCACTAACATTTTATTATTTACCTCACTGCTCATACATTTCACTAATTTTCATAAAATGTTAAATGTAAACAATATAATTTATTTCTAAATGTTAAATCTTAAATCTAAATGTAAAAATTAAATCTTAAAGATTGTTAAAGTTTATATTTAAGTATTTCAGAATGTAATACAG